TTTTTGTGAATCTAGCCTGGAATGCCTATGAACTCTTCAATAGTGACTGGAAATCTTGGGCATCATAAACTAAGATCAGGCTTAAAATGGAAAGGAAAGGCTGCTGTAACTCAACAAGGTCTTCAAGAGATGAGAGAAAACAAAAGAATGAAAACAAGGTCCAATGCTGCTGAAGTTTGATATAGAGACTGCTTTAGTTTGATATTTTAGCTGTTTTTGGAACAATTATGCAGCTGTGACTGCATTAGTTTGATCTGTTTGTTTTTTAAACAATTATGTTGCAGTTGTGACTGCATTAGTTTGATCTATGTTTGTTTTTGAAACAATTATGCAGTTGTGACTGCATTAGTTTGATATTTTAGTTGTCTCTTTTTAAAATAATTATGCAGCCAGTTTTGCATTACTTTTATGTGTACAATTATGCAATTGTGACTGCAATTTAGCGAATGCAGTTGTAAATAAAACACAAACAAATACACAAACCACCAAATTACATTAAGAGAATAAGAAAACTCATTACAAAAGAGTCTTGCACCTAATTGGTTACAACATAAACAGTGCTACACTACACCAACATTGATCTCACTACATCAACAACTTAAGGTAACTTCATTGAACATTTCTTCATATTTATCACCTAGAACCAATAGCTTATAGCTATAACCATAACGCAACAACAAGCTACAACAAAAAAGAGCACATTCTGCCATGTTCTTCTCCATTTATTCTACATCACTTTCATCTTCTCAACCTCTTCTTGCAACATTTTCAATTTCATACCTAGACAATCATCATCTTGTTTGAAATCTCCCGGCTTGTCAACTTCTTCAGTAACCTCAATCAATTCAAATGCAATGGCTAAGGTTTGAGAGGATTCTACTATATTCTCAAGCTCACCCAATTTCTGTATTAGTTTAGGAATCACAAATTTCGACCTCGAATCAATATTTTCTTTATCCTTCCAACACCAAAAGTTGCAAGATCTAGGACTCTTCAATAATGAAAAAGGATGAAGGAATTAGTGATTAATCAAATTCTTAATCGGCTAAAAAAATTTAAACAAAAATGATCTTTACCCCATAATAAGGACATGACCAATATCTTCTTCCGGGGTTATTTGAAGTCCAAGATGTTTTCAAACGCACCACAAGTCCATGATTACAATAAACTTTTTTCTTCGTAGTATAATCATCTTCTTCCATACAAAGATTTATCAAATTAATTGATCGCATTGTGTGCTACAATTTTGTGCAAGAATTAACGAGAATCTGGAAAAAACAGAAAATAAGAAAAAGGGAGGAAAGAAAAATCAAAATAATAGATGAAGAAGAATAGGTTTGAATCTTACATTTTGAAGAACACTTCCTTCAAAGATTCAACTTTTAGGTTTGAATCTTACATTTTGAAGAACAATTCCTTTAAACATTCAACTTTTAGGTTTGAAGAGCTAAGATTTGAGAAAAATAATGAATTAAGTCGCCATTTTTTGGATGATTGGGTTGGAGAGGGAGAAGAGGTATTTAGGGTTCTTCAAAAGTGAAGATTGTTCTTCAAATGGGTAATGGGTCGGATATTACCGTTGGAGGGGTAAATTTAATTTTAAAAAAATGTTAAAAGATGACTAACGCGCCGTTCTAAGCTGTAACAACACGCGCACAAGGTTGGTGTTCGGAGGGTTGAAAATAATTCACATAAAAGATGTTAAGGGGGGTATATAAACACCCGAGTAGTTTAAGTACTAAAGTAAGTTTTCGTGCCAAGTTCAGGGGGGTTTTTATGTATTTTCCCTATTCTTAATTAGTTTGAATTTCCTTAATTTATGCTAATTAGTAATTATCTTCAATCAATTCAAATTTAATTAACACACTTATTTCTGTTTTTTTACTTCTTTTTTTTCAGAAATGAATTATTTTATTTTTTTATCTTTTTATTTTTTTCAAAACAAATTTTTACAATTATTTAAAAAAAGATTTTTTTTTTTTAAGAAACTGTTACAACCTGGATTTTTTTATTGTTACAACTTGAAAGTTTAATTCTACTGCTATAACTTGAAAATATTAGTCTAATATATGTCATATATGAAATTTTCACTTTGGTGAAAGGATATTTCTTGCATTTTCTTGAACCAATGCATCACAAAAGGCTCTATGTGTGATGAAGTTGTTGCGCCTGTGTAAACACGACAAAAACAATATATACGAGGTTAATTAGTTATATGCACTGATTGTATATAAGAAATATGTGTATATATGATGTAAGAAAAGAAGGAAAGTGTAAGGTGTTCATGTGTATAAATTTAATCTCTCTTTGACTTGGGGGTTCTTTTGTTTCTTGACTTCAATTCTCTATTTTTTTATTTGATGGTAGAAAAAAGTTTTGTTTTTGGTTTTTATTTTGAATAACATTTTCATTTGTATTCAAATTAAAAAGAAAGAATTTGCTTGGTAAAATCCACGGTTTTATTTTATAGACATTATAAAGTAGTACAAATTCTGGGAAGCCACGTAGTAAAAAGAAGTACAAAATATCTTGGTTTGCTAAAACAATTTACCATTGAAAATGAACAAATTTACGATATTACCCGTGGTCGTCCATCACATCGCTTTTTTATATAGTAGAAATATTCTATATATTAATAATTTCTTGGGTTCTAGTCTTGGTTATGAAAAAAAAAAAACTAATAGGAAATATTTTTCTTCGAATGGAGTCCTACGTGACACGAATTTAAAATAATCAAACTTTTATGTATATATAAAACATCGAGTAAAAAATTTAAAAAAAAAAAGAAATCAATAATTATTACTATTGTTTTTCAAAGCACGTTTATCATGATGCTAAATTAATCATCAACTACTCCTTCTATTAAAGCCACGCCTACCATAATGTACCTCAAAAAAAAAAAATTACTCTCTCTCATTTTACCTTGACATAAAATTTTAAAAAATAATAGAAGATTTAATGTTATATTATAGTCTTAGATATACCATATAGAGAAAATTAAAATTAATAATTTGACAAAAAATGAAAGAGATATTTTTTCTTAAACGGGTTAAAAAAGTAAGACAAATAAATTAAAAGAAAGAGAGTATTATATATAGTCTATAGATACTCCATAATTTTAAATAATTACTCTCTCAAAATTTTATTATATGTTGTTTTTAGCTTTTATATTTGATCCAAAATAATTAATATATTTTATTTTACCATTATTATATAAATGAATTTTTTACTCAACAGACAAACTATTTAATTAAGAGTAATTTAAATAATGATAATAAAATAAGAAATATCTTCTTCTTTTTTTTTTAATTGAAGTAAGATAAACATTTGCTAATTTTAAAAAAATTATTAGAAAAAGAATGTGTTAAAAATATTAATATATTTATTTGAAATATGATCATTTTTTACCCATTAAATAACAATAAGCGTATTTTTGGACCAAATTATTGACGGCAGGGGCATTTTTGGACCAAACTACAAATGGATGACATTCTTGTTCCTTTCGCATAGTTTAAGGGCATTTTTGAACCAAAGTAATAACAGTAAGGACATTTTTTAGCCAAACTATAAACGGAGGATATTTTTATTCTTTTCACATAGTTTAAGGACATTTTTGAACTTTTTCCATAATATTTATTGTACCTATTGGAAATGTGGAATAACATGCATTATTGTCCTTTTTTCTCAACAAATTTAAATTATTATCACGTGAAATACCAATTATTTATTTTCACCACCTACTACCATATTGCTTCTTCCCCCACCTACCAACCAAACCTTTTATATATTATAAAGATTTTTTTGAAATACGAGAAAATCGTTTATATTTGTTATATCTATTTAAAATTGTGTTAATTTGTAAGTCTAAAATTTTGATAATTAGAAAAATATTTTTTGCTTAAATTCATTTTCGTAAAGAATTTGGCCTTTTTTTTCAGCCTGACCTATTAAGTAAGTCGGTTAGAAATCGAAACGGGATACAAAAGAAATTACACTTCTAAATGTAAAATTGTATGAAAGGATATTTTATTTCAATATCTATAATTTGTTTTTATATTGATGCAAACTTAATGAAAGATACAATGAAAAAAAAATCATATATATAAAAATATCTACTAGTTGAAAATATATTGTTATAGAAATTTTAGTATTGATTATCAGAGTTATGGTTATTTTATATATATATATATATATATATATATATATATATATATCTATTAAACTTTTATTATGTAAAATGATGATGGATATAAAATAAATTTAAAAGAAAAAGTAGATTTAGATATCGGTCCTAATTTATTTGGGGTTAAGGCAAAATTATTGTTATTGTTAATTTATTCTATAATTTAAATTTTAACTTGAAAATAATAATTAAAGTTTAAAAAACAGACTTAGAAGTATTTTAAGTTTTCATTCATAAAATTTCAATTAGTTTTCATGTTCATTCCATGGCTATAATCCGTAAATATAGATTAAATTAACTTTAAATATTTGACTTTTGTAAAAATAATGTGTCATTTACTACTACTATTTTTTTAGATTTACCTAATTCTTTGGCTAATTTATTCTTCATTGAAATTTGTAAAATTCAATTAATTAAGAAAATGTTTTTTTTTAAACATAACTTGTTCTAACATTGTTTGTCTGGATAATTTTTAATTGTTACAACAAAATGTTTCTAATATAAAAAAAAAATATTATACTGAATAACATGAAAAATCGACTCTTAAAAAACGTAACTATTATAGTGAAATTGTTGTGGATAATAGTTCTTTTATATATATATATGCAATAATTTTAAAAATAGTATGTACTTTATTGAAAAAATATCAGACATGATCCATTAGGAATGGACTTAATTAGTCATTTTTTGAAGAAATAATATTTTATGCAAGTGGATCTATATGACATTGAATTATCTCAACTAACTCTAAAAAATTATTTTTGTATATATAGATGGTTAATATCTCTTCATGGTACAGACACTTAATTAGTGAAAAATGGCAATTATGAAGATCCTCATGATGTTAGTGGTGGCTGCAATTTTATTTTGCAGCCACCACCAAGTGATCATGGCGAAAGAAGTCGCCTTGGTCGATGAGGGAAATGAGTCACTAGGCTCATCCCCATTTGATTTTCTATGTCAACATTTGTCGTGGCCGTATCCTTGGCCACAACCATGCCATCCTCCAAGGCCAAGGCCACGACCACGACCTAGACCTAGACCTAGACCTAGACCACGACCATGCTCACCACCACCTCCACCACCGAGCTCACCGCCACCTCCACCACCAAGATCACCACCACCTCCACCACCAAGATCACCACCACCTCCCTCCCCGGCAACGACTTGCTCGGCTAGTGACCAACAACAAGTGAAGACATGCATGTTTGAGACAACTTCAATCGATGCATGTTGCCCGATATTCAGGAAAATACTTGGAACTAGTTGTCCTTGCTATAAGTATGCTGAGGATTTGGACAATCAAATCTTGATCACTCTCGAAGCTTATTGTGATGTCAGTACCCCATGCAAGGGTGTGCAAGTAAGTCATCGTCAATCATTTTTATCTGTCGTTTATGATTTTGATCCACTCTTTAATTTATGAATACATTCCTAATATTGTATTATGTTAATTAATTTCAGATGATTAACCTATCCAAGGATGAGTAAAGATGAAGTGTTTGATGCTTAATTATTTCAGATCTTGTTTTAGATTATTATAATTTCTCTTTATGTTGAAAAGTCTCAAGATAATTAATTACTATGTTATAAGACTTTGAATTTCTGGGGCTACATTTCTAATTGCGCTTAGTAGTACTAATAAAGGTGTTTTTTTTTGTTGACTAAAGATTTTAATATTGAAAAATTGAATTATTAAAAATAAGTTAATAAATAATTTATATTTTGAGATTTAACTCAAAATATTAGTTTTTCTTTCTAAAGAAATTAAAAGTCACTTTTTTTTGTAGTTATTTTACCCAAAAGGTCATTCATATCGAAAAGTGATATATTCAATTACTTTTTAATGATGTAAGTATATCTGATTTTTAAATAAAACATTAAATCAAACCTATTTTAATTAAAGAACAAATACGTTATCATAAATACGTTAATATGTTGAGCAATTTTTTTTAATCTATCAATAAATAATAAATTTTCAGCAATATGAACATGCCACGTCTTGATTTCGTGACCTAATTTTGGATCATAAAGAGTCAGAAATGAAATTTTTGATTAAAATGAACTTTTTATTCTTTAATTTAAAAATCAAGTGTCAAATGTCAATATCATTAAATGGATTTGGATGTATCATTTTTTCAATCTGAGTGGCCTTTTGAGTACAATAATAAAAGTTAAGTGATTGTTCATATTTATTTATTTTTTAAAAAAGAATAATAACTTTTTAAGTTAAATAACACCAAATAAGTGACTTTTTCTGATACAAAAGAAAAAAACTAAAAATCAAATTTCATTCACCTATTTTCCATAATTTAATTAACAATTAAAACAATGAACTCTTGAATTGGATACGAAAATAATATGTTCAAACACAATTAGTAAAAATAGTCCACGAGAATTGAGTTCTTTGAAATATGTTACATTAGTCCTGGGGATTTGTGCCACCTAATCGGTGTTTCTTTTAAAATTCGATTAATTTAAACTTAAACCTAAAAGTTAGGTTAAAATTCTATAATATAAAATAAATCAATATGCCTAATCGTTTGCACGTGATAAGCCAGTACAATGTCCCTATCAAATAAATCACAGATTGAACATGAGACTATACAATAGAATTTTCATGATCAATTGATCATAATAATAATGAAAAATAATAATAATAATGAGTTATAGTAAAAAAATTCAAATCAGCTTTTATCATTATTATATTTTGATTTGTCGTTATAGTAAATTATCTGTCTTATTTTTAATAATAATAATAGCAAAAAACATGGTAAAAAGAGTAGCCAAGTGTCATTCTCTTAGCGATCTTAGTTTCAAAGACTTACTTGAACTTACAAGATCGTGAAAGATTTGTGAATTAATTGTCTAGTGCCGCACAGAGCTTTAGAGAGACTCCAAGTTCGTGACACACAAGACTTACCAATCTTCAAAGAGGGGGAAATAAAGTAGTTTGAAGGAAATGATTAGTTTGTTAAAAGCTACAAATAGTGGCAAAGTTAGAGTGAGTTTGATCGAATTCAATAATTTAATTGAAATTTTATATTTAATAGGAAATATTTTTCTTCGAATGGAGTCCTACGTGATACAAATTTGAAATAATCGAACTTTTATGTATATATAAAACACCAAGCGAGAAATTAAAAAAAAATCAATAATTATTACTAATTTTTTTTTCGGAAAAGGCTCAAAAATGCCCCTAGCCTATTAGAAATGGTTCAGAAATGCCCTCCTTCCATGTATTGGTTTTAAAATACCCTTAACGTTTTTTTGGGCTCAAAAATGCCCTTTAATTAACAGAAATCTGATGTGAAATTTAACTGAACAAGTGGCCAAATTTCATTGGTCCATCTAAATTTTTTTATCAAATAAAATAAACCCCACCCAGCCCAAACCCGTTTCACTATATTTAATTTTTTTTTCCCTGTTTTTCTTCCTCTTCTTTCTTTGTTTAAGAAAGAAAACTTCCAATCCAAAACCCAGTGTGTTTGTAAAATCTTGTTATTTAAAAAACCAGACATACAGATTAAACAAGATGAAAACAAGCAATTAAAATATTTTCATATGATGCTATAAACCCATATGTAAGAAGTTTGAACTAATTCTAAATTTATAAAAAAATTTATCTCTAATCCTTTTCAAAAGTGATTCAGTCAGAGATGATGAGCAAACAAAAATTTAAATCTCCATGTGAAAGGAACAAGGAAATAACGGGAGGTATAAAATCAAAGATACGAAAATTGGGATAGATTTATCAAAAATGGCTTTTGAGTGTAAGGTTTATTTGATTTATAAAAAGAAAATTATGTGGGCCACTTATTTTAAACTCCTTAAAAAAATTTAAAATAATAGTTAAATTTCACATCAGATTTCTGTTAACTAAAGGATATTTTTTAGCCTAAAAAAAACGTTGAGGTTATTTTTAAACCAATAGATGAAAGGAGGATATTTTTGAACCATTTCTAATAGGTTGACATTTTTGACCCTTTTCCCTTTTTTTTTCAAAGCACGTTTATCATGATGCCAAATTAATCATCAACTACACCTTTTATTAAAGCCACACCTACCATAATGTACCTAAAAAAAACAAAAAGTTACGCTCTCTATGATTTTACCTTGACATAAAATTTTAAAAATAAAAGAAGATTTAATTTTATATTATAGTCTTAGATATACCATATAGAGAGAATTAAAATTAATAATTTGTCAAAAAATGAATGAGATATTTTTTTGAAACGGATTAAAAAAGTAAGACAAATAAATTAAAAGAAAGAGAATATTATATATAGTCTATAGATACTCCATAATTTTAAATAATCACTATCTTAAAATTTTATTAATTGTTGTTTTTAGCTTTTATATTTGATCCAAAATAATTAATATATATTTTTTACCATCATTATATAAATGATTTTTTTACTCAACAGACAAACTATTTAATTAAGAGTAATTTAGTGAAATACATCTTACTTTGTAGGTGTAGATGAATTTAAGAGCTACGTCCAAACTAAAAACATCATATAATATGGACCAAATAAAATATCTAATTATTTTTCTCTCTAGCCACATAAATTTATTGTGTCATTTAAAGAGTATTTATTTTTTCTAGATATAAATGTGAGTTTACCTACTATTCCAACTAATTTATTTCAACAACTCTACTAGTACTACTATGCAATAATGCAAGACATAAAGTTTACTAATTAATGTTAATTGATTTTTTTTTTTCAAATTTAAAAATTAAGGGGACATAATTGTTTGGGATCCACATCCTATTATAATACTCTCTCTGGCCCCACATCTTAAAGAAATAATAAATAATAAAACTAGTATTATTATATTACCGTTTAAATATATTATATTTAATATTTTGAGAAATGTAATACTCCCTCCGTTTAAAAAAGAGTGACCTGGTTTGACTTGGCACGAGTTTTAGAAAATAAAGAAGATTTTTGAATCTTGTAGTCCTAAATTAAAGTTATGTCAAATGTACTAAATTGTCCTTCAATCTTGTGGCTTTAAACATTACACGTGAAAAGCTGAAATTAAAACAATACCAAAAAAGGAAAGAGGTCATTCTTTTTTAAACAGACTAAAAAGGAAAGGATATCATTCTTTTTTCAGATGAAGTATTAGATATTGAAGGGTAATTAAAATAGACATAAAAGAATAAATTATTTCTCGATTTTCTAAACTGAAAAAGTATCGTAGAACAACTTTAATGTGGTTGCATAAAGAAATACTAAAATATTACAACATATTTAATGTGGTGCATAAAATAATAAGTATTATTTCAAAAAGAAGTACTATCAAACAAGACCAATAAATGATGGCTGTTTTTTATATTAAATTGAAAGCATACCTACTACATGTTAATTAACCTTAATAATTTGATAGTATATATAGATGTGTTATATCTATTTTCACTATATCACACAAATCACTCACAATATGGCAACTATGAAGATGTTATGATGTTAGTGGTGGCTGCAATTATGTTTTGCAGCCACCACCAAGCGGTTGTGGCAAGAGAAGTCGTTGTGGACGTGGTCGAGAATGGGAACAGGTTAAAATTATAGCCATCGGAAATTCCATGTTATTTACCATGGCCATTTCCCTTTCCACGACCATATCCATGCCCTCCTCCGAAACCACGACCAAGTCCACCACCTCCACCACCACGATCACCACCACCTCCACCACCAAGACCTCCCCCTCCCCCTCCTGCCCCGGCAACAACTTGTTCGCCAGGTGACAAAGCAAAGGTGAAGAAGTGCATGTTCAACACAACTTCAATTGATGAATGTTGTCCAACATTCCAAAGCATACTTGGCACTAGTTGCCCTTGTTATAAGTATGCTAGGGATTTGGACAATCAAGTCTTGATCACTCTCAAAGCTTATTGTGATGTTGTTACCCCTTGTATGGTAAGTTATCATCTTTATCTATATCATTAAAAACATTATTTTAATATGATTATATCTTTTTAAATAGTAAGGATGGAATTCAAGAATTAATAAAATTAAGGGAAAAGGGTCTGGAAAATACTTCAACTTTGGCCGAAATTGTTGTAACGATACCAAACTTTATGGAGGACATTTTACCTCCTGCACTATTTAATAGTGTATTAAAAAGGTATATATGTTCCCACGTGACCACATTACTATAATGATGAAATATTTATGATATCCACGTAGGCACATATATACCTTTAAAATACACTATTAAATAGTACAGGGGTAAAAGGTCCTTTCCAAAGTTTGGTATCGTAACAACAATTTCGATCAAAGTTGGAGTAATTTTCATATCCTTTTCTCTAAAATTAATATTTCTATTTTTTAAAATTCTAATTAAAATTATTTTTCGAATTAGTAAAATGATTCTTTCATTTATAAATATAGAGTCCATCCCCAAAATCGAGTTGCCCGGCTAGTGACCAAGAAAAAGTGAAGACTTGCATGTTCAACACAACTTCAATTGATGAATGTTGCCCCACATTTAATAGCATACTTGGCACTAGTTGCCCTTGCTATAAGTATGCTGAGGATTTAGATAATCAAGTCCTAATCACTCTCGAATCTTATTGTGACGTTAATAATCCTTGCAACAGTGTGCAAGTGAGTTATCATTTTTATATTTATTAGAAAAAATTACTATTCAAGATTATGAATAATATACATGTCTAATATTGCATTATTTTAATTAATAATTTCAGGTGATTAGGCTATCCAAGGATGATGAGTGAAGATGAATTGTTTTTAATGCTTAATTTCAGATCTTGTAATATTGTGTTTTTAGCAATAAAATTTTGACATTTTTGTCAAAAAGAAATTACATAGACTTGATAATCTTGAGAAAGGATGAGAAAAATTTGAAACATAAAATTTGGAAATCCCAATTGGATTTGGGTAGGTATACGATAATATTCACTCGTATTATTCAATGGCGGATTCAAGATTTTCACTAAAAAAAATTAAAAACTTAATATAATATTAAAACCTTAAGATGATTTTTAAATTCACTTGACTCTACTCTTGTATATAAAATTATCTTATATATTTTCAAGTTTATTTATCAAGGAGGTTGGATAAACACATTCACGACCCCTAGATCCACCTTTGGTTTTTTTTGGAACTCTGATTAAATTCAAATTGCACACTGCTGGATTTATTCAGGGCGACGTTTCCAACAGAATATTATTTTTCATACCTAAGGCTCGAACCCGATATATCTAATCAAGAGTGAAACAGTTTCACCACTACACTATCCTCAATTTTGATTATTGGCCACAACCTCAGATATTATTTTTTTCATAAAAAGACAACTCATAGGAGGAAGACAAAAATGTTTCTTGTATTAAACAATAGTAACTTGACAATGACAAGAAGGCAATGACTTTTTTATTTACAAGACAATGATTTTTTATCTTTATCTTTGTGGTTGAGGAATAAAAATCACTTTTAATAAACAGCGTTTTATTCCTAAAGTAAAAATTTAAAATTCAAATCGAATTCAAAAGCGAATATTAAATAGTGGGAAAAAAAGTAGCTAAATTGAAAGCCTTAATTATATGTGAGGATATTGAAGAAGGATTTAAAAGCAACCAATATAACTATAGGAAACGTTTGGCCAACGTTAACACATGGTATATCTACACATTATATGTGAGGATATTGAAGAAGGATAAAAAAAAATGCACGGATGCTCCTATTTTGAGATGGTCTTTAATTTTTATATTTATTTAATAAAAATTTATTGATCAAAGTATCTAAGTTTGCTCCGCAAAAATTTAAAGACTTTTGCCCTTAGGAACTATATATATCTCTTACAGACATAATTTGTGGCTTGTGAAGTGAACTTTTGTTTTGATCGACATAGCTTTTATAGAAATCAAGAGGCATGACTTGTGTTATATTATCATATATATATATATATATATATATATATATATATATATATATATATAAAAAAAAAACTAATGTCAAGCAAAATATTATTTTAGCGTCAATCATAATTTTGATACTTATTTTTTACTTAATAAAGTTATAAAGAACAAAATTTTAAGACAATCAAATTTGAGAAAATAAATTAATGACCTCTCAAAATAGAAATATTTGTATTAATGATAAACTAATGAACTAACAAACTAATCAATCATCTATTTTCAATGTAGTCAATAGAGTACCTTTTTTTTTATGTCTCTACATGTGTATCATGTGATATTGCAAAGCACCTTTTTTTATGTCTATATGTGTATCGTGTGGTATTGAATTAAGAAAAAAATGAATAAATATACTTCTCAATTTATAATTTAGAATAGATATATATTTCATTTAAAATATATACAAGTTTGATATAAATTAAATTATCCATTCTTTTATTCAGTCATCTGGTTAATGACTGAATAAAAGAAGAATCGAATTTTTTTTAGTTGGTCGGGTTTGTGGAGCAGGTAAAAAAAATGAGTGATGTAATATTCTAAAGTCATGTGATATGTTTAAAATTAAAATGTCCTTTTTGGAATTATTTTTTTTAATCTAGTAAATATATATATATATATCAGTTAATGAAAAGAATAAATCTATTTCGTTTGTCAGACGGTAATTAAATGAGTATATATGCACTACTTTTTAATGATAAATATATTCGCTCTAAATCGTAAAAAACATGATAGTCATATGCTACTTTTCTCAACTACCCCTTTGTTAAAGACACACCTACCACATAAGTAATTTCAAAAAATTTGCATATATATAGATTGGTCATTATCTCTTTATTTTAGGACACAAATCATTTAATCACTCAAAAATAAGTAAAATCATGAAGATGTTTATAATGTTAATGGTGGCTACAATTTTATTTTGTAGTCTCCATCAAGTGGTCATGGCAAGAGAAGTCGTTGTGAACATGAACGATAACATGAACGACTTAATTCCATGTTGGCCAATCCAATGGCCATGGTGCCCGTCACCGCCCCAACCACCAACCCCATCCCCTCCGCCCTCACCAACAAGTTGCTCGGCTAGTGACCAAGAAAAGATAAAGACGTGCATGTTTAACACAACTTCAATTGATGAATGTTGTCCCATATTCAAGAGTACACTAGGGACTAGTTGCCCTTGCTATAATTATGCTGACGGTTTGGATAATCAAGTCTTGATCACTCTTGATGCATATTGTGACATCGATAGCCCTTGCAAGAGTGTGCAAGTAAGTTGTCATTTCTACATACCTATCATTTAAAATTTTGATAAAATTCAAGCAATCTTTTTTACTTACTTATCGTTTAAAATTTTGATAAACTCCTTCACAATTTGCTATCTAAAATAACTTTTATAAAGTGTATTATTATTTGAGTTACGATCATATATTTAGTTTCTTAATTTTATTAAAATGATAAATATTTTGAAATGATTTTTTTAGTTAAATAATGTAACCAATAAAAAATGACTATTTACAAATTAAGAGATGTTAATCTTAATCATTAACTTTGTATCAATTGAATGATTGTTATCGATTTTTCTATTTATTATATAAATATATATACTACTAGTTTATAAATACATTATTTGGATAGTCATTCTGATCATTTTATATATATATTTCTTTTTATGAAATTTTAATTAAAATTATTTTTTTCGAATTAGTGAAAATAATTCTTGTATTTATAAATTCAGAGCTCGCCCCCTCCCGCCTTAAAGGCTCCCGCCTTAAAATCGAGCTGCCCTGTTAGTGACCAAGAAAAGTTGAAGAAGTGCTTTTTCGAAACAACTTTACTTGACGATAGTTGTCCGATATTCATGAGCATAGTCAATACTAATTGCGCTTGCTATAAGTATGCTGAGGATTTGGACGATCAGATCTTTCTTACTCTTAATGCTTATTGCGGTATCTATAATGATTGTGACGACATGCAAGTAAGTTATCATTTTTATCTATCGTTTAAGATTTTGACACATTTATCCAAAAAAAATTAATACTAATGATGTTTTTATTTTAATTAATAATTTCAGGTGATTAAGCTATCCAAGGAGGAGTAAAATTGAAGTGTTTAATTAAGCTGCTTAATTTCATATCTTGTACTAAATAATTTGATGCTAATTAGTAATTACTCTTTATAAGAGTACACTAATTAAGTGTAATGTTGGGTTTTAGTACTACTAATATATTTGGCATATCTGTCAAAGTCTTAATCTATTATTCTATTGTTTTATTTCAATTTACGTGATATTATTTCTTTATTAGTTTATTTCAAAAGAATGGTATATTTTTTTTTATATTAAAAATAATTAACTTTAAGCTTTCTAATACACCCCTAATGAAAAAATTACAATAACACAAAAATTATAACATATTATTGAAAACTACTTGTTTTAATTTGAATAAATCGTTTTCAAATTTCATGCTGAATCCAATAATGGAATTGAGACAGGGGTATATATAATTTTCTCTTGTGTAATTCGTTAGGTTGGTCTAAATATTTAATATTATTTTCTTTATTAAATAAATAAATATGTCTAATCGTTTGCACGTGATAAGCCAGTACGATGTCCCTATCAAATAAATCACAGATTGAAAATGAGACTATACAATAGAATTTCATGATCAAATGATCATAATAATAATGAAAAAATAATAATAATAATGAGTTTAACAATGTAAAAGGAATTTTTTAAAATGTAGAATATCAAGATTTAAATTTAATCTGTTTGACATGATAAATTTAATATTGAAGATCATATTTTGATTCGATACATTCACTTATAATTAAATAGCAAAAAAATTCAAACCAGCTTTTATCATTATTATATTTTAATTTGTTGTCATAGTAAATTATCTGTCTTATTTTTAATATTAATAATAGCAAAAAATGGTAAAAAAGTAGTCAAGTGTCATTCTCTTAACGATCTTAGTTTCAAAGGCTTACTTGAACTTATAAGACCGTGAAAAATTCGTGAATTAGTTGTCGAGTGACGCACAAAGCTTTAGAGAGACTTCAAGTTGGTGACACAAGACTTACCAATCTTCAAAAAGGGGGAAATAAAGTAGTTTGAAGGAAATGATTAGTTTGTTAAAAGTTACAAATAGTGGCAAAGTTAGAGTGCAGTTCAATCGAATTCAATAATTTAATTTAAATTTTATATTTCTTTGAAATTAGATTAAAAAAAAAAATGAAGATAAATTAGTTGAAGACCTCTTATTTAATACTCTTTATAAAAGAATATCCTATATATTAATAATTTCTTGGGTTCGAGTCTTGGTTATGAAAAAAATTAATAGAAAATATTTTTCTTCGAATAGAGTCCTACGTGACACGAATTTGAAATAATCGAACTTTTATGTATATATAAAACAGCGAGTGAGAGACAAAAAAAAAATCAATAATTATTACTCCCTCCGTTCCATTTTATATGGCATCACCATTTTCTTTTTGGTCAGTCCCAAAAAGAATGTCACATTTCCTTATATGGTAAGTATTTAAAGGTACAATTCTTCTTTTACCCTTGTTGGTCTCACTTAATCTTAAAATAATACTCCAATACATTTATGAGGAGAGAGAAAAGTGAGTCTACTTTTAAAGGGCAATTTGGTAAACATTTCAAAGTATTCATTTATTTCTTAAACTCCATGCCCGATCAAATATTGCCACATAAAATGAGACGGAGGGAGTACTATTTTTTTTCAAAGCACGTTTATCATGATGCTAAATTAATCATCAACTACACCTTTTATTAAAGCCACACCTACCATAATGTACCTTAAAAAAACAAAAAGTTACTCACTCTCATTTTACCTTAGACATAAAATTTTAAAAAATAAAAGAAGATTAATTTTATATTATAGTCTTAGATATACCATATAGAGAGAATTAAAATTAATAATTTGCCAAAAAAATGTAAGAGATATTTTTTCTTAAACGGAAAAAAGTAAGACAAATAAATTAAAAGAAAGAGAGTATTATATATAGTCTATAAATACTCCATAATTTTAAATAATTACTCTCTCAAAATTTTATTATATGTTGTTTTTAGCTTTTATATTTGATCCAAAATAATTAAATTTTTTTTTTTTTTACCATTATTATATAAATGATTTTTTTACTCAACAGACAAACTATTTAATTAAGAGTAATGTAGTGAAATACATCTTACTTTATAGGTATAAATGTATTTCTTAAGAGCTACGTCCAAACTAAAGACATCATATATAATATGAACCAAATAAAATATCTAATTATTTTTCTCTCTAGCCACATAAATTTATTGTATCATTTAAAGAAGTTTTTTATTTTTTCTAGATATTATTAATGTGAGTTTACCTACTATTTCAACAACTCTACTAGTACTACTATGCAATAATGCAAATCATAGAGTTTACTAATTAATGTTAATTGATTTTTTTTGTTCAAATTGAAAAATTAAGGGGACATAATTGTTTGGGATCCACATCCTATTATAATACTCTCTCTGGCCCCACATCATAAAGAAATAATAAATAATAAAATTAGTATTATTATGTTACCGTTTAAATATATTATATTTAATATTTTGAGAAATGTAATACTCCCTCCGTTTAAAAAAGAGTGACTTGGCACGGAGATTTAGAAAATAAAGAAGACTTTTGAATCTTGTGGTCCTAAATTAAAGTTATGTCAAATGTACTAAATTGCCCTTCAATCTTGTGGCTTTAAACATTCCACGTGGAAAGCTGGAATTAAAATGTTACCAAAAAAAAAAGAGGTCATTCTTTTTTAAACGGAAAAAGTATTAGATATTGAAGGATAATTAAAATAGACATAAAAGGATAAATTATATCTCGATTTTCTAAACTGAACAAGTATCATAGAACAACTTTAATGTGGTTGCATAAAGAAATATAATATTGCAACATCTTTAATGTGGTGCATAAAATAATAAGTAGTATTTCAAAAAGAAGTACTACCAAACAAGACCAATAAATGATGGCTGTTTTTTTATATTAAATTGAAAGCATACCTACTACATGTTAATTAACCTTAATAATTTGATAGTATATATATATGTGTTATATCTATCTTCACTATATCACACAACTCACTCACAATATGGCAACTATGAAGATGTTTATGATGTTAGTGGTGGCTACAATTATGTTTTGCAGCCACCACCAAGCGGTCGTGGCAAGAGAAGTCGTTGTGGACGTGGACGTGGTCGAGGATGGGAATAAGTTAAAATTATGGCCATGGGAAATTCCATGTTATTTACCATGGCCATTTCCCTTTCCACGACCATATCCATGCCCTCCTCCAAAACCAAGACCAAGTCCACCACCTCCACCACCACGATCACCACCACCTCCACCACCAAGCCCTCCCCCTCCCCCTCCCGCCCCGGCAACAACTTGTTCGCCAGGTGACAAAGCAAAGGTGAAGAAGTGCATGTTCAACACAACTTCAATTGATGAATGTTGTCCAACATTCCAAAGTATACTTGGCACTAGTTGCCCTTGTTATAAGTATGCTGAGGATTTGGACAATCAAGTCTTGATCACTCTCGAAGCTTATTGTGATGTTGTTACCCCTTGTAGGGTAAGTTATCATCTTTATCTATATCATTAAAAAAATTATTTTAATATAATTATATCTTTTTAAATAGTAAGGATGGAATTCAAGAAATAATAAAATTAATATTTCTATTTTTTTAAAATTCTAACTAAAATTATTCTTCGAATTAGTAAAATGATCCTTTCATTTATAAATACAGAGCCCACCCCCAAAACCGAGTTGCCCGGCTAGTGACCAAGAAAAAGTGAAGACTTGCATGTTCAACACAACTTCAATTGATGAATGTTGCCCCACATTTAATAGCATACTTGGCACTAGTTGCCCTTGCTATAAGTATGCTGAGGATTTAGATAATCAAGTTCTAATCACTCTCGAATCTTATTGTGACGTTAATAATCCTTGTAATGGTGTGCAAGTAAGTTACCATTTTTATATTTATTAGAAAAAATTACTATTCAAGATTATGAATAATATACATGTCTAATATTGCATTATTTTAATTAATAATTTCAGGTGATTAAGCTATCCAAGGATGATGAGTGAAGATGAAGTGTTTTTAATGCTTAATTTCAGATCTTGTAATATTGTGTTTTTAGCAATAAAAATTTGACATTTCTGTCAAAAAATTATTACATGGACTTGATAATCTTGAGAAAGGATGAGAAATTTTGGAACATAAAAATTGGAACTCCGACTAAATTCAAATTGTGCATTGTAGGGTTCATTCAGAGTGACACTCCCAATATAATTTTTTTCATACCTAAAGCTCAAATTCGATACATATCTAATCAAGAGTGAAACCGTTTCACCACCACATCACCCTTGATTTTATTGTTGGCCACAACCTCAGAGTATTATTTTTTTTCATAAAAAGACAACTCATAGAAGGAAGACAAAAAAGTTTCTTCTATTAAACAATAGTAACTTGACAATGACAAGAATGCAATGACTTTTTTATTTACATGACAATGATTTTTTATCTTTATCTTTGTGGTTGAGAAATAAAAATCACTTTTAATAAACAGTGTTTTATTCCTAAAGTAAAAATTTTAAATTCAAAAGCGAATATTAAACCATGGAAAAAAAGTAGCTAAATTGAAAGCATTCATCTTGTTTACTCATGTGATTTAAAAGTAACCAATATAACTATAGGAAACGTTTGGCTAACACATGGTATATGTACATTATATGTGAGGATATTGAAGAAGGACAAAAAAAAAATTGCACGGATGCTTCCTTTTGAGATGGTCTTTAATTTTTATATTTATTATTTATTTAATAAAATTTTATTGATCAAAGTACTTTTATCTAAGTTTGCTCCGCATAAATTTAAAGACTTTTTCCCTTAGGAACTATATATATCCCTTACAGACATAATTTGTGGGTTGTGAAGTGAACTTTTGTTTTGATCGATATAGCTTTTATAGAAATCAAGATGCGTGACTTATGTTATATATATATATATATATAAGTATGCTGAGGATTTAGATAATCAAG